ATGGGGCCCTTAGGTTATGTTTAGTCTGGAAGTCGCTTAATGAATTGACAAAAAATTATATAAATCCTAAAAGTCTGAGAATTTGAAAGTAAAAAGGCCCCACTGCTTTATCAGTGGATTGTACGTTATTAATCTAAACGCATTAATTAGTTATTTATCGCATTAATTTGCCTCCTAAGGCAGGAGAACAAGCTGAAATTGCATCTTCATTAGCTAGTCACTAAGATAATGTTGTCTGTATCCATTTAGTGATCCCCGAGAAGCACACGCAGTTTATTTATTAAACGTGTACCTCCACAAAAAAAAAAAAAAAACCCTATACCTTGCTACAGATAAAATCAGTGTTTGACTGCAGGCTAACAAAACAAAGAGTGTAGAAAAATGAAAATTTGTTGTCATTCTTTGTTTATTTATAACTAGAAACAACACCTCTTACATTACCAGCAGTAGATAGCCCGTTAGAAGTGCAGCTTTTAATATTTTGATATAAAAATGTGTTTCGTTCATGTCTTTGGTCATTGCTTCTCTTGCATGTGAGCGCACGCTGATGCATGTTCAGACTTTGACATTAGAAAATGTGCTGCTTCTCTGATCATGCCAAAAAGAAAAATCAGATTTTGTTCACCGCATACGAGCAGGGTTTGTGACACCGCGAGCAGCTTGGAAAAAACAATCGCAGTCAAACGGGAGATACGAGTTGTATTGAAATCAAATAAATAAGGGAAGAAGGAAGTAAAGATTTCATTTATTTTAAGAGGTGCCGCACCTTTCAGGATTTATTTTTCCTTGGAAACGAACATTAATTTTACATTTCAGATTCGTGTCAAGGATTTCTTTAGAATGCTTTTTTATTTTTAATCAGGAAAGACACACCAATGGACTGTTTGACCCTTTTTGTCATGCACACGGTTGCATAACACCTCTGCTCTACATAATGGCTTACTAGCAATACAGCCCCTAAGACTTTATGGCTTATTACACAGTGGCCTTTTATCAGTAGCACACCTTTATTAGTTCTGGTAAGTAAAACTGGACCTAAGATGTTTTAACACTACATTTTAAATGGTGAACCATTTATTAACATTAAAGGATTTGACCTTTTGTACAGTGAACCCCAGCTTTTTTGATTTCCTCTTGTTTATTTGACACCTTAGTGACAAAAACAAAAATAAACCGCCATCAGCGTGGGTGTGCTCTTCACTGAGGCAAAAGCTATGTCATGGAAGACTAGTGTACTATTATTTTTCATAAGGGCATGATGAAAATTCCAGTACGGCCAGCAAAACCTGCTCACGGACCCGTCACTGAGCACGCAACTTCATTATGCAGCTCTGAAAAACTTGATATTCCCTTTGTGTCAGACTATAGAGCAAATCTATAGTATTCACTCACTGACTAATACTGCTCACACAGACAGTATACAGAACCTGCATGCAATGAACAACACTTTCTAATCTCTATACTTCTTTTGCTTCTGTTTAAAATCACTGACATTTAAAGTCTGATCTGAGGTCAAACAGTACTCACAGAATTAACAAGATTGTGACTAAAACTGTTCCCTTGCATCTCCATACATCTAGATGTAAATGTCAGCATGTACCTTCCTACCAAGCAACATTCTAAAAAGGTTAGCACAGGGACTCCAAGTGGGTTTTTACTCATCAATCGGTACAACACGAACAACTGTGGGTTCAAAAGCTGCACATGAACGAGTTCAATGCGCCGAAGAAGCCTGGCAGCAGTATCTCAAGACACTGGAACCACTTGAAGCATGGGGATATTTATAGCCTCTTTAGGAGCCTCCACGCCATCTCCAAAAACCTCTACAATGGATTCTCAACACAACTGCGTGCTGATAACAAAGTAAAAACCTCATGCAGCAGCAGCGTCTGAGACGTGCTCAGACTTGCATGCTGTTGTCATCCCTGTGAGTCATAATACATCCAAAAAGCAGTCAGTCAAACAGCTGGAGTGAGCCATGACTGCTTTGGTGTACGCCTTAAATGACGGCACTACGCTGAGCCCTATGGGTGAGGTCCCCTTCGGCAGTAACTGATTTACCTCTGGCCTGACAAACTGTTATTCAGGTTTGATTCTGTTTGAGTCACTGGCCGACTGGTTGGTCGTCTACTGCCTCTTTCTACGTCTTGTTGCCATTTGGGCGTAAGCTGAGCTGTCCACTGGCAGGCCAGCTGGTGAGCTGGCTGTGATACAGTATTTCAACAGCACACCGGCCTAAACAGGAAAGCGCCAGTGGGAGGGTTTTCACCCCTGACACCCCGTGTGTCACAGACTGTTGTTATTCACTGGAAAACACACCCCAGTTCAGCACCGGGTTATATTTGTGCAAGCTCACATTTGCTTAAAAAAGAAAAAGCCCCCCTTCTTTTATCACAATGACAGTAGCTTCCCACCTTTTGTTTTGATATGCAGGAGGATTGTAATTAGCTGAGAGCAATACTTCAAAAACATGCAGCGTGTACAGTTTTTAAGCTACGGCCCAAATCAGTGGGACTGCGCCAGAGCACAACTGACAATATCATTAACTGGAATGAAAGTGACAACTGAGCAACACAATAACAAAAGCAAAAGCCTGTTTAATAAGATACTGACTTTTGTTTTGACATATCAATTGTTATTGAGTCAAAATGCACGCATGAACGCATGCACGCACGCAGAAAAACACACACACACCCAGGCAAGTCTGTGCAGGTCGTAAAGTGTGGGGCGCTCCTCTCTTTAGATTTAAAAATCAACACCAAGAATTTACTTCACAACTCTTACACTGTTTTTTAGAAAAAGGGTGTGTGTTTTTTTAAACCAGTGCTATCAGCTCAGTGTTTCACTTTGGCCAAACAGCCAGCAAAAACCAGAAGATAATTTAGATTATAATACCATAAAACATTACAGAGGACAAAAAGGAGCAAAGTACAAAGAATTCATGTCTCACTTTATTTTAATTATCACTGAATTAGTTCTTTCAGCTTTCTTAGAAACACTAAGGTGTATTCTTACTGGGATGGCAAGAGAATCTTGATGTTTTTGTAAACCTTCACTTACTGCCATTACGATGTTATTATTCATTTCATTTTAAATCCAAGAACTGTCGTCTTAATAAACTGCTATGTGCAATATGCCTTCTGCTTTCTGAGCTTAGACCTTAAAAACCTGGTGCCAGCCAGTTACGATGTGACAACCAAAAAGATGTTTTTCCTGTTGTGGTTTCCAAGACTTATCTAATCTCTGAAAGCCACTTTGCTGACTGTCTGAGTCGAAAGCAGTGGTTTTCAAACTGGGGGCACAGACTTAAAAGAAGACGGGTGGGGGTAATCTGATGATCAATATGCAAAGAAAGAGCATGTTGGGAAAACAAGGGCTTGCTGACGCTGTCCTGCTGACCTTCACTAAAAAATTAACTAGCTTTCTTTTTTGTCCTTGTTATTGTTAATGATTGATAACAAATCTGACTCACCTACTGATTGGGGGTGGGGTGGGGGGGTCGTGCTTGGATAGGCTTGAGAACCGCAGTTTATGAGAATCTGATTGCGAACTATAAGAAGTTATCTGTCAAATAAACTCCAAAGTTCTTTTGGAGATGAATCATATACATGCAATCACAGCGAAACAGACACAATCTGCATCATCTCCAGCTTAGAGCAATGTAAGTGCTATTATCAGCCATGAACCCACTTAATGTAGCTGCAGTATGACAGCTACAATCGGGCAATCCCCAGAGCAAGTGAACTGAAAGCCTTTCATCGTCTATCGTCTGCTCACTGAGCCACACACACTCGTCCTGGTACAATTCTCACCATCACTAAACCTCCACCACAAATGCCCTCGAATATCCGCTTCAATTTAACATCAAGTTCGGTTCAGTGATAATGTGCATACAATGAAAATTTGCTGCTTTTTAATAAATTATTTGAGAATGTGTGAATTATTGATGCAGCAGTATTGATTTTTCTTTTTTTTTCTAGCTGTGTGTGCGCAGAGAAACGTTTCCAAAAGATTAAACATGCTGATGCTTCCTTCTGCGCACTATATTTAAGAACTGATTCATGTCTCTGAAGTCTGTGAATTATATGCTTGGTTTCCAGCGGAGGAAAAAAAAATAAAAATCTGTGTGCTTAAGCTTTATAAAACAGCTTGGCTCGCGATTCAAAGCGTTTTCTCCTCCGGATCCAACCACACACTCGCTCCCGTAGCGCTGCTATATCTAATCCTGAGGGCTGCAGGGAACGCGCGACCCCTCCAAGTTTGATGAGCGCGTCTCTCTCAGTGTAACACTATCCGTGCTGCTGCTGGTGCAAGAGTTTGTAAGTATATCCTACTACTGCTTACTCTAACGCCCCGCTGCTATTATTAGATTAGGATATCCTATAATCTTAAGGTAAGTCAGAGAATTTGCAGTGCGCTGTCTCTGCAACCTCTCCACCCCTCAGGTTGGCAATCCAATTCCCACAACAAGCCCGAGCGCAGTGGAAAAATAACACGCCCAATGGGAAAAACCTGCACCAATAACAAAAAAAGGAAAGAAAAAAACGAGTCAGCGGGCTAACTCGCACTTACCAGTAGTTAGTTTTAATATTAAACCACTCAGAGTGCCGATGTCTTTCCCGTCTTGAATCCAGCTCCGCTCTTTTTTTCACTGCTCCACCTGTAACGTTCACTCCACGTCTAATTCCTGCAGGGAGTGATTATCCGACAGGCAGCTCTCAGCGGTAGGCAGCGCCTGATCACGTCACGTGTTTGATCGCACCTTTACTTATATAGGAGCCGCTGGGCGTCGCGACCGAGCAGATAGCAACGACATAGTCCTGTTAATGTTCCCAAGTGCGGACTTTTGGTTTGTTTGGAAATGTTAAATCGACTTAATAGGTATTTTATCAGAGGACGTATTAATGTGTTAGCCTAAGCACGACAGAAAGCCACGTTTATTTTGAAAATAAAAAGAAAGACGCAGTCAATATATAAAAAATTAACGTTTTACTCTCCTCTAAAAAAAATATACAAAAATACACATATTTGTGTATAAATCTTCTCCATACTCCATTCAAAAGCTATTGAAAACATTTCCAAATATTCAGTATTCATCATATTCAATATTAAGTAATACAATACAAAAATTAAGGGAACAAAACCATGAATTTACACATTCACACCGCATTCATCATCTGCCATCTAGTGGCTCATAAAAGCTACTTCACCTGCGCATTTTAAAAAACGTACAGTTTGAATGAAAAAACCCTAAACCAGTAATCCAGATGAACAAAATGTAGATCCGACAATAATGAAAGGGGAAAGTTTCTTTCAGTGTCCCGGTGAAATTAGCTGTGAGGACCTTTGCTGGCATTAGTTTGTGAGGTCCGTGACTTGTTCAGTGTCTATATCTCCGTTTGCCTTCGTCGTATCTGCTGGCAGGACTCGGGGTCCGCGGGTCTTGAAAGGAAGAAGCTGCCTTCAGGCTGACCGCTGCTGCGCTCATGGACGGCCGAGGTGAAGGCTGTTTGTTGGGGGTGTTTGCATAGATGGGCTCTTCTGGTGGACGAAAGGCAAATACAGAATCAATGGCATATCAT